CAAACAAACAAACTGTACTCACAACCGGTTGGTAAGTGGTAGTAGGTTTTGGTACGTTGTGGGTTAAAGCACCTAATACCTAACTTCAATTTGATCTTTCTTGCCTTATGTCTCGTTGGTCATCTGCGTTTTTTGTTTCGGATTATGTCTAATAGATGGAATATACCTATCAATTTTGTGAGCTATTACTGCAGACATTTACCTTAATTGTACAACTCAACATCTCCCTACGAGTTCTCTTCCAAGAGAAATAGATATGACTTCACTCGGATGTCCCGAGATAGAAGGCTGTCTTTTCTGTCGGCGAACCATGTAATGGCACAAGGATTTCCTACTGCTAAGGTCGAGTGTGTATGATTTCAAATCAATTGTGCAATGTGCGTGCCATGAGCAACCTGGATTTGTTTATGTTATTGCATTTTAGTATTTAAATCCAGAATCTCCTCTGCTAGGTAGAATTAACCAGATTCTAAATTGATTCAGACTTTGTGCAGCTAGATATTTTGTTATTATTAGACTGTTAGTTGGATATCAGTATCCTTGTTTTATTTTGACTTACTTCAATATTTAGGGGTTTTAACTTACGGATTTTAACTTTATTTTTATTAGCTTACAAGGGGGACAGGGGGGTCACTTTGAACTGGTGAAAGAGAACCAGTAAAGGTTTCTGTTCACATTTTCTCTTTTGTTGTTTTCAATATTTATGTGTTGACCTCTTTTTCGTGACTAACTAAGTTGGGGTTCGGAAAGTATCGAACCCATACTCTGTGACATAATCTTCCTCAGACTTTCTATTAAGCAGACCCTGCATACTGCTCTGCGGAAAATCCGTGTACCGGAAAATACTACAACAATAATCTGAGAGTCTGAAATCTGATGCCGGAATATCATTACGGACCTCTCACTCCTTCCTGTCGTATTAGAAAGGTTGTATCTAAGGGTTAACTGAATCTTAGCAAGGATTAATGTCTCAGTTGGCACACGTAAGTTTTTGGATTCCGCTCCACCTATCTTCAAATATAATAAGAGTCATATTAAACTTATAATTCCAATAAAATCTACGACACCGTCACAGGCTGTGTTTTGGAGTTTGAAGAAAATGTTAAACTTAATTTTAAAGTTTTAATCCATCAACTTCCAATGCAGGCCTCCCAGTGGCATAGCGGTATGTCTGCGGACTTATAACGCTGGAATCCGGGTTTCGATACTCGTGGTGGGCAGAGCACAGATAGCCCATTGTGTACCTTTGTGTTTAATTACAAACAATTCAATGCAGAGCAAACCCCACTCACATTAATGCTAGTACCGATATATCAAAGTTTAATTAATCCCGCTAAGTTTGTTGTAGGCCTAGCAGCTTAGTAAGCATATTATCCATTTAGACTACCATCAC